CAATTACGCAGAAGTAGATGGATGTTTTGCGTACATTTTAGGTCACAGGTAGAAAAGTGTGGTCTTTGGTGAGCAAGTCGGAGAAAACGTTTAGCGACCAGATGTGTTGAAACTAAAATTTAAAACCCTAGATTATAAATTGGGGATGGAGGGAAACCGGCTCTTTCGGAAATTTATGAATTTTGTGATGTTCTTTCCTTAAATCTAATTTTTACCTGATCATCCGTAAAATAATGGATCTCTTAGGAGGTGTTTACTTCGCTACTAAAGTCACAATTAGGTTAGTTAGACAAGTTAGTTAGACAAGTGAAGCAAACATGTGCACTGCTTAAAGAGCCGCTTACTAACCGAAAGAAATGCACCCCATGTATTAATTAAGCGGCACTTTAAACTTTTTCAGTTTCCGAATTTACCCTTTTCCCTTACCCTATTGTTACCCCCCTAGCCTAAACCACTCAATCCTACTACCCCAACCACATCCCGACCGTGACCCCACCCTACTCGACCATCACCCCACCCACACCCACACCCCGCATACCCGTTTTCCCTACAATGACCCTAATCCACCCTACCACATGCCTCCACCTCGGCCCCACCCCAATTCCATACCCCACCCTACCCCTACCTCGTCCCCCGCCCGATCCCGACCCCACCCTACCCCTACCCCACCCCTCCCTACCCACTACCACATTAGCCCCACCCGGACCCTGCCTTATCCTATCCTACCCCTACCCTACCTTACCCCCACCCACCGCCCCTTTACTGCCCTTACCCTTACCACCCTTACCCTTACCACCCTACCACATCAGCCCCGCCCCCATTTACCACCCTAGGCCCTTACCCCCTACCACATCGGCCCCACCCCGACCCCACCATGTCCTACCCTACCTTACCTCGACCCCCACCCTTGCCAACCTACCACCCCCGACCCCACCCTACGTGGCGGTAGGATGGAGGTAGGAGTGGGATCGAGATCTGGGTGGGGCCGAGGTGGGGGGCGTGTGGTAGGGGGTGAGTAGGGTGGTAGGGGTGGGGTGGGGTTGGGATCAGGGTGGGGCCGAGGTATGGGCAAATGGAGGGAGTGGGGTTGGGTCGTGGTTAGGGGTAAGGGTGGGGATTAGGGTAGGGTGGGGTCAAGGTTGGGGTAGGGGGTGTAGGGTAAGGTAGGGGGTATAACAGGGTAGGGTGGGGTCGAGGTAAGATAGGGTAGAGGTTAAGGGTATGAGTACACGTACGTGGTGACCCCACATATTATATTATATACTTGTGTTCATGAATGTTTGTGTGTCTATATATGTATAGGATTATTTTGAACATTTTAAGGTAACAATATTTTAAACCTTTTGAAGTAAACACTATCTTACAACATTGATTATTTTATGCGATGTTTATTAACACGGGTCTTATTAAGCACCGTTTAGTAACTCGTGAGGTATTTTATAACCATCAAAATCTAGTATAGTCTAATACTCTAATTAGAATTGAAATAAGTCCAAGTAAATGTAAAAACATAAAAAAAAGAAAGTAAGAAACCTTCCTAAATCAGAATCAAACGTCCTCTAAATGTCTCCAATTTGAATTTTATATGATCCGATGAGCTCTGATTTAAACTTTTGAGTCTTCTAATTAGATTAATTAGAAACATTTATTATAATGAATTATCATGACAGATTTGATCAGATATTTCTAAAATCAAAATTTATTTAACTTATCAAAATATAATAAGTAAAATCAATACGAATGATGAATAATGGATCCAAATATATTATTTATTGAGATAGAGAGCCAAAGAAGAAGAAGAATGTATGAACTCTGATCTAAGATTTACATGGCTCTCCCTTGAGGAATATCTATCAGGGCTGTTTTCAGGGGTTCAATAGGTTATCCAGAACAGGGCCCCCAAATTTATGGGGCCTCAACTTTTTAAAAAATTAGTAGCATTATATAGTAGTATTATATATTAATACTAATTAGTAAAATACAGTTACCTATAAGGAAGAAAAATATAGATCCGTCATTTTTCCGTTGGTCGTTTTACTTTTTTAGTTTTCTTTTAATGAGTATTCAATTGATTTGAGTATAAATATTTGGATTGAGATTTTTAAAAAAAAATAATGTGGGGCCCCGATTTTACACTTAGAATCGGGGCCTCCAAATTCATTAGACGGCCTTGAATTATGTATGTATAAGAAAAGAGTGGGAAGTGCCGCTAATATTGACCCCATAGCCCCCAACAGATCAAAATATTTAATACTCCCTTCGTCCCTTATAAGTTACGGAGTATAACTTTGTCAACTTTTCTTTTTTTTGGATGTCACATTAACTTTGCCACTTTCCCTTCTAAGTAAAAAATTTGTGGTTCCAGTTAATTGTCTCTCCTCTGCACAAACCTCAACCACATAGTTTTTAGTTTATTAATCTCCGTGCCGATCAAACTTGGCAAAGTTATTAGGGACGGAAGGAGTATATGTTTTACAAAACTAAATCATATACTTCATATGATTTCGAATTAAATCCCGAAAACGGAGAAGAAAAATCGTGACTTGCATGCGCGGGCGATCTGCAGTCATGAATATCGTCCAAAAAATTATCTTTCAAGGATAAGATTTTTTTTTGCTTCTTCCCGTAACTGTCTCAGTTCTCCAGAAGTGCAACGGGCTGTTCTGTGTGCGTCAGAACCAGAAGACCACCTAGTGTTCTGGTAGCTCGTGAACCAGAAGACCACCGGGTGTTCTGGTCACTCCGGAACCAGAAGACAGTCTGGCGTTCTGGTTGCGCACCAGAACGGTTCTGGACCATTACAGCCTTAAATGGCCAACGTTCTTCTCTTTTAATGTGTCTTTAAATGAACAGTTTTTCGACATATTAATGCCCAACGTGTTGGTCATTTCTGTCCTACGTTCAGGTCCATTAAAGGTCACTTATCATACAACAAATTCATCCCTATATATAGCTGGCAGATGGTTTGCAACAACATACGTTCACAAATGAACTCACACATTCCTCACGTAGTTTGAGCTCTAAAAAACACCTCCAGCATTTCGAAAATATTCTTAGTGTTCACACTTGTGTTTCCGTTCGCCGAAACCTCCGTTTGTGTGCTCAAACGATCGTTCGTTAGCCACCGTATCCTGGAAAACGGTCGTTGCAACGCTTCTAGCACTATGAGAGGCAACAAATACGTTTTAAGGACATCGTGCGTAGCACGAGCTTTGGCTATTTTCGCTTCCATCTTATTTTCTGTTTTCTTTGGCTATTTTATTTTTTAATTAATTTTTCTTATTTTCCGAGACACACCCAACAGATTTTACGTGTTGAATTGTCTAATAATCAAAATAAGTAGAGTTAAAATTACGTCTCTAGCTGATTTGACTCAAATTACTGTGAAGAATCATTTTGAATAATTTTGATAAAAAAATCTTTATTTCATTATTAAAATATAGCTTGAATTTAGTTGTTATGTAATTCATCAAATTTAGTCACTTAAGCCACATGTTCGTCAATTTCGACATATTGAGACGATTCACCCAATTGTAGTGCTACTAAATCAGTACAACAACATCCAAGTCTTAGTTCCAAAAGATACTGAGGTCGGCTAACATGAATCGATACATGATATCACCACGAGAAGGAAAAGAAAGAAAATAAAGATAAAAAATAAGCTATTATAAAAAGATAAAATAAAAAGAGACGAATACACCTAAAAAATAAAAATGATAAGATAAAACGGATAAAAATAATGTATATATAAGGATAAAAGAATAAAAGAACAAGAAGAAAAAAGATGAGGAGAAATAATAATACGAGATCACTTCTCCATACGAATACCCGCCCTCCACTTTGCTCTCTTCAGCGTTATACCCTCATCCAACCCAAGAAGGTGCATATCATTTTGGACTCTCCCTAACCCACGTCTCTTTGGGTCTTCATCTCTCTCCCTCTCTCTTCCCTGCCTCTTCTCCACACATCTCAACACGTCTGACAGGTGCATCACTCGGTCTTCTACGCACATGCCCAAACCACCGTAGACCTGACTCTCGCATCTTGCCTTCAATAGGTGCAATCCCACCCTTTGTCTAGTTGTCTCATTTCTCACGTGGTCCTTCCTAGTATGTCCACACATCCAACGCAGCATGCACATCTCTGTTACACTCATCTTTTGAATGTGACATTGTTTCACCTCCCAACACTCTACGCTATACAGCAATGCAGTCCTAATTGCTGTCCTATAAAATTTATCCTTCACTCTAGTCGGCATACCTCTATCACATAGAAATCTTGCCACTCTTCCATTTCATCCCCCTTATTCTGATTCTATGGGATACATCCCCATCTAACTCACAATCCTTCTGAATTATGGAACCCAAGTAACATAACATATCACTGACCGGTATCTCTTTACTAAACCGGTGAATTATGAAAAATTATATTTAGTTGATTCAAGAGCCTTTTGGTAACATTCAGATAGACTAAATCAACTGATTCAACTTAAATTTATTAAGTGATAACTAAAGTGACTGTATTGGCCGATTTTGTTCATTTATGAAAAACTTATATTTAAAATATGTTTAATTAATATAAAAAATTATATGAAAATAGTTAGAATGTTATACATGATGTTTTTACTTGAATTGAATTTTTCTTGCCTAATCTCATAAATGTCTAATTTATGTGTATTTTATAATTTTCCAAATATGGTGTAATGTACCATCTTGTATGATCTAATCTTATCAAATCTGATTCAGTATGATTTGATGTGGTTCTAGTCTTGGGCTGATATTTAACCTTGTCCCCGTCTGACCTAATATAATTGGAAAAATTGACAAGATATCCCACCTCTCACTGGTCTTCTCATAATAATCTCACCTTTACATAATCCCAGAATAATCTCACTTTTGCGCCCAATCTTCTTTCATTAGATCCTTTTTTTGAAAATCTTATATAAATAATCCTACCTTTGTGGGTTATCAATAGGTTATGGTCAAAGAAATGAGGTGCAAAGATGAGGTCCAACGGAAAACGGTCCACACTCCATATACGCTTATAAACAGATGGAGACGGCTAATCTTAGCGGGAACTTCTAAATCAGTCCGCCCAAGAAATACTGCTGCTTATCGATACAGCCGATATCACAATGGGTGAGAGGAAGCCCGCCTTCTTCAAGGTCTTGACCAAAAACTTTGCCACTTACCTGGTAATTCCGCACTATCCTTCTCTCTTTTCCTGTTTTTCTCTTACATATTTTCTCCCAGAATCAATGACGATTTGTTCCCCTCTTTTTGAAGAGGTTGCCGCCGTTATTTACCTTTAGATTTAGAAAGCGATTGCCGCAATACCCAGTTCTGACGGTAGGAACTGATGAAGAATGGCGTGTGAAGATGGAGGAGGTTGCGGAGGCCCAGTGTTTCACCAAGGGCTGGCCCAAATTCGTGAAGGACCTGAATTTGGATCTTCACACTTTTCTGGTCTTTTGGTTTGAATCCCCGTCCAAATTCTTCGTTGAAGTTTATAATGAAGACGGCTCTGCTAGGATTCTTGATCATCTTCCTTCTAAAGGTAAAAGGCCAGTTCTGTTCAGTATTCAGTATTCACACACCAAATTGCTATCTTGAGCCATCTGTTTATATACTAAAAATTTCAAATTTTAAAAATTTCTATTTATTTCTCTTCATACCAATACCACCAAAAAAGGTCACAAACTCATAATACTATTATGTTTTTTGACTCCATGACCACAACCATTTTTGTACTAATATGATTCATACAGAAGTCCCTTAAGAGTTAAGATCAATTTATATATGTCGTATATTACATGATCCTTTAATCAACATATGGAGCACATAATTAGTATAAGAAATATGGAGTAACAATTTATACTAATCCGTCCATGAAGTATTAATTATATGTAACTAATATAGAAAATTCTTACTCCCTGAAGATAAGAATTACATAACTGATGACAATGTATATTATTTATCTGTAGAAATCTATCATTATGTAAAAACATTAGCCCCAAAAGTATTCAATAGAGTGGCTGTGTGGTATATATTGGAAGAGTTAATTGTATTAATACAAGTAAATGTTGGATTTTTCAAATAATTCTGTTTATACGTAGTATTTAATATGGTGGATTTTTATAGTAACTTGTGGTGTGAATACATTACCCAAGGTAAAGTTTATCAGTCTCTCAACTAATAGCCATACATGTGATTAGACTTTGTTATCTCAATTCCTGTATGTAAAAATTCACCTGTGAGGCGGTGAGGACACTTTCAAGCTGTTCTTGACCTTATTTTGTAAGTGATGGATTGACTTTTCTTTTTAGACTTGGGGCACTGTCTAGCTGTTTGACTTGATCAAATCACTTAAATACCTCTCTGGCTCTCATATTAGGAAGTCTGGTTCCGGGGTTTAAGATTGATGGGGATAAAAAGATTGATTTTTATTTTTTAATTTATACTCGTATCTATTTGTTAATTTTGGACTAGAAATAATTGCTTCATATATAACTTGTTAGACCTTTTATACTTGTATAGTTTTTAATCTTTATTGTATTTTGTACCATCTAGATGTAGAAACAATTATAAAAGTAAAGATCTATCTTCCCCTTTCCTCTCCAAAATACACGAACCAAACAAGCCTTTAGCATTCACACTGTAGATGCTTTAAAAATGTTAGTGTAATGGGGTAGAAAGAGATGATTGTTTGAAAAAATGGTCATGTTCTTCTCTTTTACCTTCTCCCCATTTCTCTGTCTACCACCCTCTCCTACTAGAGAGGTCCAAGAATGGAGAGGAGCCATATAAGTTAGACTCTTCATAAAAAAAGATTATAAAAAACTAGTATATAATACTACGTATTTCAGAAAGGAAACAGAGAACTGTATGTAGTGAAGGTAGTTTTGGGTAATTATTGGTTCCATTTGGAGGTTAGGTCCAAAACACTGAAACTGAAAGTTATCTAGATTGAAATTTTGGGGCAGTCCATCCCTAACCTGAATGCTGAATATTTATTTAAGGTTATGTAACTAATAACATTTCATCTGAGCTTTTATTTTAATATCAAGTTGTGTTATTCATGCAATAAACTATGTTTGAAAATAAGTAAGACACTATTTAAAAATTAAAAATAAGTAGAGTGCCTTAACAATAACCATTATTAAGGTTCCAAATACATTGATGACCTAGAAATTGAGTTAGTGTGAATGCGTTTTTTGGAAGGTGAGGCTTTTAGGGTCAGTTTTGGCAGTTTAAATTTAAAGGGTATAAATTTGAGATTTTATAAGATGGATAAAACAACATAAGGGGATGCTTGGTTAATTTTATTGATGAGAATAGGAATGTGTTTGAGAGAAAGGGGTGATGAGTCATGGGTTTCAATGTTTCACCCCCATCTGATAGGGCTATGGGTAATTGCCCAACAGTGGGAAATCAAACTCCACTGTAACTCCACTGTGGTATCCCTTCAATCATAATCTGTCTTTCCTATTCCATAAACCTTTTACCAAGCACCCTCATTGATTAAAACCTTCTACCTTTTATTCGTTTTTAGAATACATTCTGTTTATCATGATATGTAGTAACTAGCAAGTCATCTGAATTCTGAAACCTCCCCTTGCTAAAACTTAGACAACATTAGCCCGTATATAACAAACTTATGCACCAACATTATAACTCGATTTGATTGTTTCTTAAAAGGTATAGTTTCCCCAAAGAAGGCATATGCACGGGAATCTGCTGTAGAGCCCTTATCATCGGATGTACGTACCCGGAAGAGGAAAAGGGCATCATTTTCTATCGAAATGAAACCATCAAACAGATACAGATGGGTACCCATATTATTAATTTGTTTTCGTTTTTTTGTTAAGAGCCTGATTGGTGGGTTATTTTCTCAATTTTCTAGTTAGAAAAAAGCGTTTGATAAAATCCACTTACAGCCAAATAAGAGAGTAAAAACCACTTATACACTGCGTATTCTGATTATTATATCGATAAGGCTACCAAACTGGCTCTGAATATATTCTTGATTTGCATAGACTGCTATGCTTCAAGTCTGGTGGGTATTAATTAATATGAATGGATGAATGTTTGGATCAGAGAATTCCATCACAATTCATGAAAGAGACTGGAATTATGGGAAGCAAGTGTTTGGTACTAAAGGATCCAAGTAAAAGGGAATGGCCGGTGTTGATATCGTGCCATGGTGGGGATTGCAAGGAGAGAACTGAAATGGCAAAGGGGTGGAATGAATTCCGGGCCAATAATGGCTTACTTGATGGGGACATTTGCACCTTCTACTACCCTGCTGATGGAAGTGAAGAAGAAGAAGAAGACGGTGGTGGCTGGTTGCTCCAAGTTGAGGTGACAAGAGCAGGTTCTTAGGCCTCTCTGACTCCTTTGTTAGGCCAAAAAGGAACTTGCCATAATGCCATCTGCCTTCTGGGTTATGTTTTCTTCTGTTTTTGGCCATAAGGCCATTAACCGATAATGTAGAAGAAATGCACTAATTAGTAATCTTAGACATCACCTTTTAGTTTTGACTTTTGACACCAAAGTGCTCATCGTGTCTATAGGAACAAAAGTGAATGTGGTGCGTTTTTAGCATTTTCTTGTACAATCTCAATTTTGCCATTTCTTTGTCAACCATTTTTGTACACCAGAATGCATGGAACACATTTCTTGGTCCTGTGTATAGATCAAAGTCAACCAAGTCTACTGAGTAATGAACTTTAATGAAGCAGAAATTTTATCAATTCAGAACCCGAAAGATAGATGAATTATCAATCCGGGACTTGAAAGATGAAATATATCAATATAGGACCTCGATCATGGGGAATTATCAATTTAGGACTTAAATTGTCATGAATTTTATTAATTTTTTCATTTCAAAAAATTTAAGTATTATTTAGTTTTATATTGAAAAAAACTATATAAAAAATTTTTTAGGAACTGATAAACCTATAATGAACTTTTAGTTTTATTAATTTAGGACTAGAAATAAACCTATCATTTTAAAAACTATAATGAACTTTTAGTTTTATTAATTTAGGAACTGATAAACCTTTGTGAAAAAAAAACTTTATAAAAAATTAGCAATGGAATTAATAAAAAGTGAAATAAATCAAAACCTATGAAATGATAGTTTCCTAGGTTGATAGTTTTCCATCATTCAAATCCTATATTGATATATTTCATCTTTCGGGTCCCGAATTGATAATTCATCTATCTTTCGGGTCCTGAACTAAAAAAGGTTCAATGTGCACCCGGAACTGACTAAAAAGGTTCAAATTTCATTTTTTACGGATAAACAACTAGTAAAAAAGGTCCAATCCACACCCCTAAATTATTAAAAAGTGTTACAATTGCTATAAATAAAAAATAAAAAATAAAAAACAATAAATAATTTAAAAAATGATTGGTTGTTTACCCGTAAAAATAGAAATTCGAACCAATTTTTGTCGGTTTGAGGTAGGAATTGAACATTTTTCTAGTTCAGAGATTGAATTGAGCTTACGTGACCGGTACAACTAGGGGTGGACTCGGGCCGGGCGGCCCGAGCCGGAACCGGCCCGGCCCGGTTACTGTTTGGCCCGGCCTGGCCCGGGGCCCGGTGGGTCCATCGGTTTGGTTTGGCCCGGCCCGGGTGATGGGCGGTCCGGGCTCGGGCCCTGCTTTTGGTGAACCGGCCCGGCCGGTTTGGGCCCGGTCCGGGCCGGATTTTAATTTTTTTTTGTTTTGCTTTTTTTTTTTAAGTTTTGGGTTGGATTAGGTATTTTGGGCCATTTGAGGTAGTTTGGGGTGGTTTGGGGTTGAGGGGGAGGGGGTTAAATAGGAGAAGGGGGATTTACCCAAATAGGAGTAATTAGATACTTAATTGTCAAACTAGGACTAAAGTTTAAAAATTCCCCAAATAGGAGTTATTTTATGTAGTTAGACAAAAATATCCCTAAAGCTTGACAAAACATAATCTCGCTGAAAACATAATCTTGCTGACAAATCGCCGGACAGACCCCAGCCGGCCGTAGAGCGCCGCACACCGCCGCAAGACACCGTTGCTTCATCAAAACTAACCACCTCTACAGATCTAGTAGCTGCCATTGCAGATCCAGCCGTCGTCGCCTCAGATCTATATAGATTTGGCCGCCGCCCGCCACCAACTGCCGCCCTTGCAAATCTGGCAGCCACCTCCACATATCCAGCCACTGCGACTGCAGTTCCGATCACCATCGTCGATGTCATCAATTTTTTAGTTGAATGCCAACATGAATCAAGAAATGCCATATTAATGGCATTTTCCAAGGGAAATAGAACGTTTTTGAAGAACAAAAATGCCATTTTGATGGCATTTCTAGGAAAATGGATATCAAACCTTCAACCAAACAAAATGCTAGAAAGAGACATACAAAGAAGTTGAGGAGGGAGGAAGAAGAATGTGTAACTTTACTCCGCCTATGCTCGCCCGGCCCATGCTCGCCCATGATCTCCGCCGCCACTGGCCGCCACCACTCGCTGCCGCCACTCGCCGCCGCCACTCCCCACACCAGAAGGGCTCGTTGTTGCAGGCTGACAATCGAAGAAGATGAGAGGACGAGAAGATGAGGACTCGTTGCTGCCAAAGAGAAAGAGAAATTGAATGGATAATGTGTGGAGAAGGGGGGAAGGTCTGGGTGGAGGATAATGCTACACGTAGGGGGTAATTTTGGAATAATGGTCCCCTTTAGCGAATATAATTTCACGGCTCCTATTTGAGCATTTGACTATTAATTTAGTCCCACCGAGGTCAATTTTTCATAGGAGAACAAAAAAAAAATTATAGACCGGTTTGGCCCGGTCCGGCCCGGCCCGGTTTGGCCCGGAACCGGAACCGGCCACCGGCGGTTCGGGCTCGGGCCCTAGTTTTCTGGCCCGAGGCCCGGCCGGGCCCAGGCCCGAGTCCACCCCTAGGTACAACGACCTATTTGACCCTTTAGCCTACATTCGCAATAAAGAATAGAGGGTATTTACAGTCAAACTAGCCAAAAACACACATCTTTGACCATTGTTTTTTGTTTAAATACTAGGTATGTTTTTAGTTCTTGTAAATTTGACCCTTTTAGATTATTGTTTTTATTTATTTATTTTCGTCCTTGTAATATACATTACTTTGGCTTTAGTTCATCTCTAACTCAGTGACTACTTAGAAAACAATTCTATAGGTGCTACTAAAATAGAAACTAATAATTTCACTTTTTATCGGTGCTACTAAAATAGTTTCACCTAATCTCATAATATCCCACATTTTCACGTCCTCTTCTTTTGCTAATCCTTGACTGATTGATCATTATCATCGCCGGTCAAATCTCTACATTTTTCGTGGATTTGAGATGCTTCTTGATCAACGTGTCTGCTTTGACATTCATATCCTACACTTAGTTTGCTTTTCATCAATATCTACCAAATGAACTCTTGGTATGCCGGATGAACAAAGAAAAAAAACAGAGTAACAATTAGATATTCTCAACCACTCAAGAAATAATTAAATAGGATAGAACTCAAAAAAGTTTAAAGATTTAATTAACTACGGTTGACTCTAAGAGCCTCAGTTGTTACGTATTTATTTTTTATTTTCCATTGAAAAAAAGTCAAGTATGAGAATATAGATCTAAGTGTCGCTATCTTCATGAGTTTTAACAGATTCCTTCGTAGCTGAGGAACCGCGACCGTCTCCTTAACTAAGGGTTTCCCTCGATGAAGAGGGAAGCCGACTTCAAAGAGAATGGACTGAATGTGTGATGTGTCTTGCACGGTATATGTAATAGCTCGGTACTCAACTTCAGTACAAGATTTGAAGACAGTGGGCTGCTTTTTGGAACGCCAAGAGATCAAATTAGGACCTAGAAAAATAGCATAGCCAGAGGTGTAGCGGCTACTATCAGACAAACCAACCCAATCAGCATCACAATATGCAACCACAGAGTGAAGAAAAGAGGTCGGCCAAAGATGAAGACCATGCGTGAGAGTGCCCTGTGGGTACCTGAAAATTCTTTTCTATTAACACACGGGCTACTCCTCCTATCAGGTTGACCTTTTAGGATGGAACCACGTGTCTTAACATTTTCACAACCAAAATATGTGAAGTACGAGGAGCATGCATAAATTGAGACACCAAGTGAAAAACATATGTAATATCAGGTCTAGTCATAGTCAAATACTGCTATGCACCTACCATGCTGCGGTATTCTGTAGGATCAGCAAGTACCTCACCATCAGTGAGAGAAAGAATTTAAGGGTGTGAAGATAAAAGCGGGTTAAGAGGTCTGACACATGTTTGGCCTGAGATAAAAATAAACCAGTCGAATTACGCACAGCCTGAACCCCCCAAGAAAAAATGAATATCACCAAGATCTTTCATAGCAAAATATTTCCCTAAAAGAGGAAATAAAATGACTAATGAGAGATGAGGAATTTCCTGTAACAATAATATCATCCACATATAAGAGCAAGTAAATGAGTCGAGCGCCATGACGTAAAATAAATAGAGAGTTATCTGCTCGGTTACACACAAAAACATGAGTCATGAGAAAATTGCTGAAACGATAAAACCAGACCCAGGGAGCTTGTTTAAGACAATATATGGCCTTGCGCAAGCGACAAATATGACGAGGAAACTGTGGATGGATAAACCCAGGTGGTTGACGCATATAAACCTCTTCAGTTAGATTACCATGAAGATTTTTAACATCTAACTGACGAATAGGCCAATTATAAGAAACGGCTAAGGTAAGAACAATGCGAACAATAGTGGGTTTAATAACAGGGCTAAATGTATCAGAAAATCAACTTCAGCCTGCTGCTTAAACCCCTGAGCAACCAGACATGCTTTATGGTTTATTAGCAATAAGTGCATTAAATTCTCATGTTTTATTAGCAATAAGTGAATCAGACCGATATTTAGTTTTATAGACCCATTTAGACCCGACCACATTCTTATTAGAGTCAAACAACACTAACTCTCATGTTTTATTAGCAATAAGTGCATTAAATTTCTCAGCCATTGCAGCCCTCCAGTTAAGATGTTTATTTGCCTCAGAAAAACAAGTAGGATCAAGAATTAAAACCTCAATATTTAAATTAAAAATCATTTTTGGTTTAAAAATTCCTGATTTTGAGCGTGTATGCATGGGATGAATATTTTGAACTAAGGACCGAGAGGATGTAGGGACCTCACTCAATTCCTCAGACCCAGGCGAGGACCGACATGACGAAACCGGAATGGCCGACGGACTGGGATCAACCCGAGAAGCCGCGCTCGACGTGGAAGCCGAGCTGGAGCTGTCCAGCAAACCCAGCTGCTGCTCGGGAACCTCAGGAACGGCCTGGGAAACTCGGACTGAGGAAGGAGGGAGAGAAACCGGAGGAGTAGTTGTTGTCCAGTAGCGGTGGAGGAGACAGGCGAAGACATGGAAAAAGAAGAAGGACACGGTGGCAATGTGGACGACGCAGATGAGGATTGACTCGCTAACTGTAACACCCCGGCCCCGCAGGACCCGAAGTAGTTACTCCAGACCTCTAGTACTGTCCTCACAAACCACCACGAGCCTTTACCGCGCACTTTGTCCTCACTCATGCGCGCCCTAAGAAACTTCCCAGGGGGTCACCCATCCCAAGACTACTCCCGTGCAAGCACGCTTAACTTTGGAGTTC